TCCACAGTGATCTTTCTGCTTCAGCCTGCCCAAGGTTAGCATTCATTATAAGTATGTGCCACTATGCTGGGCTAAATTTGGATTCTTAATCCAGAAGGCCAGTTATCCTTTAAAATACAATGTCTTGTCACCAGGCATAGTGGCACACATCTGTAACCCAGTACTCAGGAGGCTGAGGCAGGAGGACTGCCATGATTTGAGGCCAGCCTGGGCTACATAGTGAGATCAAGGACAAGCTGAACTATATAGCAAGACCCTGTCTCAAAAAACAAAAAACCCCCCAAAAAACAAAGAGATATACTGTCTTTCCATGAGCTATATGACTTAACCTTGAGAAAAAGAAAAGGGATACAGGTAAATTAGAAATTGGCAACGCAGGGGCCAGGGATGTAGCTCAGTGGTTCCACTGCCTGCTTCACAAGCACAAGGACCCGAGTTTGATCCCCAGTACCAAAAAAAAAAAAAAATAAAAAAAAAAAAAAAAAAAAAAACTAAAAAAAGGAAAAGAAAAGAAAGAAAGACAGACAGACATTGGCAATGCTTCATAATAACTACCAGGCCAATTTCACTTATGTGTCATCTACTTTCCCCTAGCTGGGATGGCTCATTACCAACAAGATAGAATAAGCCATGTTTTATGTATTTATTTTATGTCTAACCAACTGAATATAAAGTAGCTTCAAACGATTAGAATGATTAGAATCAATCACAATGATTAGAATTGCATGGTGGTACACACCTAGAATCCCCCCATTTGGGAGGCTCAGGCAGGATGATCACTGGAGTTCAAGGCCAACCTCAACTACACACTGTCTCAAAAAACCAAAAATAAATAAATAAATAAATAAATAAAACAAACCATCAGAAACTGAATAATATGAACTCAATTTTACAATTTCATTTGTCCCAAAGGTGGTATATAGTATTTTTTAAAAAGCATTTCCTTGGCAAAATGTAAGTTATATTCCTCGAATTGTCTTTTTTTCACTTTTTGAGACAGGATCTCACTATGTAGTTGAGACTGACCTGGAACTCACTATGTAGTCCAGGCCAGTCTCAAACTCAGAGCGATCCTCCTGCCTCAGCCTCTCAAGTGCTGGCATTACAGTCATGCACCACCCACGCCTGGCCCTTGAATTGTCTTTTGATTGTGAATATAACTCTTTGGAAGTAATCAGGTACAGGAACAACTTTACAGTAGGTAAATGTTCACCATACTAACTAAAAGCAAAAAGCACCCTATGAAGTAGGACCAAACACTGAGTGTACTAAAGATACACAGGTAACAAAATGAAACTCTAGCATGATCAAATTTTGTTGTATTGCTTTGCAGGGATCACCTACGATTAGAGGTGCCCATTAATTACATAGTTTGAATATTCACATTAAGAATCAGGCAAGCCCCACTTGCTAGTCTTTTTCTCCACCCCACCAGGTTTTTTTTGTTTTGTTCAGGAGGAGCATCCAACTCTTTAGGAAGACAGGATAACCTAAAACCAAGACTTCTCCATATGCAGCTCCCTACACTTGAAAGACCTCTGCAGTCAACTGGTGGATACAGGCTGGGTGTGACAGCCTGTGATCCCAGCACCTGGGAGGCCGAGGCAGGAGGATCACAGGGAGTTCCAAGGCCAGGCTGGGCTACATAGTGAGTTCAAGACCCTGCTGTTGTTTTTTTGAGACTGTGCCTCAAAAAAAAAAAAAAAAAAAAAAAAAAAAAAAATCAGTGGATATAGTTATATGGCTATGTTGCTTCATTCCCTACTGGCTTCCTCCTTCCAAAGTGTGTACTTTGTGCCAGGAGTAGTGGCACATACCTGTAATCCGTGCTACTCGCCAGAGACTGAGGCAAAAAATGGCAAATTTGAGGCCAGCTCAGGTAACTTAGTGAGGCCCTATCTGAAAATAAAATAGAGGGTGACAATTTAGCTCAGTGGTAATGCATCTGCCCAGCATGCACGAGGCCCCACATTCAATCACCAATGTCAAGAGGTACAAGTGGACCCTCAAGTTATGACCAGCTCGACTTACAAACAACTTGGGTTAATTAGGTTAACGGAAGACTCACCTGCCTCTTATCATCTATAGTGTGTACCCAGGTAAACATCCAGATCTCAGCTGTATTGACTTACAACCAACTTGAGTTACAACTAGCCCTTGGAACTGATAGAGTTCATAAGTCAGAGGCCCACTGTACTTGCAAGAACCTTTGTAAAACTGGAAAAAGAAATCAACGAGAAAGCCTTCAAATAGTCAGGTGTCGTGGTGCACACCTGTAATCCCAGCACTCTGGAGACTTAGGCAAGAGGACCACAAAGCAAGCCTGGACTACATAGTGAGATCCTGTCTCCAAAAAATAAAAAATAAATAAAAAGGGACTAGGGATCTAGCTCAGTGATGCCATAACCTGCCTAGCATGTGCAAGGTCCTGAGTTAGATCCCTGGTGGTGTGGGCTAATTAAATTTTAAAAACCCCACCACAACAAAAATATCAAACCATTAACCAAACCAAAAGAAGCCTTCAAATAAATGTGCAAAGCAAACATACTAAAAAAACAAAAGCCAGGGGATGCAGATGTAGCTCAGAAGTAGAACATGTGTGCTAAGCACCACCTTGCCCTCAATTCACGCCCCCACCACGGGCTCACACAAAATGTGATGCCCAACTCTGAAGTCCTCTGCAGGTTCCCAGTAGGCAGGCAGCAAAATGCTAGAGAAGGAACCCACCTTTAAAATCAGTCCTAGGGTCAACCCCAGCTTTCCTACTTACACTACTTTCCGGCTTCTACTACTTTTGTGACCTTGAGTAAAATGGTTACTCCCTAAAACCTCAGTTTCCTTCTTTATAAAGAAGGACTGTAGTTCAGGTGGTTTTAGGCTGGGGATTTAGCTCAGTGGTTCTGCTCCCTTATAAGCCCAAGGTCCAGAGTTCGATTCCCCAGTACCCAGGTTGTTTTAAGATTCAATGAAATAAAAGCGCACAAGGAAAGTGCACCCATAGTTCCAGCTACTCAGGGAGCTAAGGCAGCAGGATCACTTCAGCTCTAGGAGTTCAAGGCCAGCCTGGGCAACATAGCAAGACCCTGTCTCAAAAAAGAAAGATAGAAGGGAATCTAAACTTGGTAGGTCTCCAGTGATATCAATGAGACAAGGTTTGACAAGTCCACCTCTGTTCATGGGGCTTACAAAGGGTTTTCCTAAAAGTAATAGATAGGAGAAAGAATACTAGACAAACATCAGACAGACCTAAATCACATCTACATCTCCTGAGTTTATTCAGCTGTAAAAGGAGGGGCTAGATAAATTCACCTCTAAGCCATTTACACATGAAAATCTACAATAATTCCCAAGTTCTGCTGCATCCTATATTCATTTTTGTTCCTTTCGTTTTCTTCCTATTTCTTTAAAGAAAAAAAAAAAAACAACTGTCTCTTTCAAACAGGTAAGGAAAAAAAAGATGGGTGCCTGGGAAATTTTGCTTCAATCACACTCAAACTGCAGGGGAACCTTTTCACAGAGGGCAGCATGAGGGGTGTCTGGGTGACTCGTCAGTGGAAAACAAAGGCCTCTACTGGAAATTCTGCATTCTCTGGTACAAAGTCACTCTTAAGCACACTGCCTGGCACATAGCAGACACTCAAAAATTTTCGGTGAATGAATATCCAATTGACACTTGTTACTCCCTAAAAAATCTTGACTCAAGCCAAAATTCCAGAAGCTGGTAGGCACCTAAGAACGCCACTAAATAGCCTCGGAAGTATTCCTTCAAATGCTCAATTATACTAAGAGGAAAAACAGAAAACAAAACACAGTGGAAGAAATGCTGAACCAGCGGAAAAAAACCTTTGAAGCCAAGTTTCAACATTCCCTCCGGGACACACGCGCTGTGGCCAGGGTCAGCTTCCAGTTCTTTTCCACAGCACCCCGCAGAGATGCGGGGGGAAGACTCAGCTGCAGCTCTACCCTGGGCCGCTCGACTCCTGCACCTGAGCCTTCCACATGGATGTCGCTAGAGCCAGCACCGCACAGACACGAACCAGCCGCACCAAACTGGCATCTCCTCGTCTTCACGAGGGTCACTAGAGTACCACAAACTGCAAAAGCCAAGTTAATCCTGAGTCTAGCACAATCAGAAGTGCCTACTTGGGATAAACTATTTTCCTACAACTTGGGGAGGACAACAAAAACTCCAAAATCGAGTCGACCGGTCCTTCTCTCCCCTGCCCTCCCAGGAGTGCGGCTATTTTACAAATCACACACACCCGACGTGCCAACTCCGAGACCCCCGGGGCGCATGTAAGTGGGCGGGGAAGAGAGCCCTCGGGAAGAAGGGGGGCCGGCTGAGCTTTGAGCTGCTTTGCAGGGGTTCCCAGGAGACCCGCCTGCCACGGCCTCAGAGTAAAACTGAAAGAGGGAGGAAAAAAAAAAAATCCCCAGCCTCGCCCACCGCGGCGGATGGCGCAAAGCGGTGAGTGACTTTAGCAGAGAGCGGAATGGCCCGAAAGTACTCGATGCCCACCCCCTACCCCTCGCCGCGCCCCAGCGGCCTCCTCCAGCTCTTCTCGGCCACCCCGGTTTGCGCGGCCTCCACTCCTACCCCCCATCCCCGGCATGGGGAGTACCTCCTCATCCGAGCACATGAACTTTAAAATGGTGCCTCGGAATGGAGAGCTCGACTGGAAAGGAAGGGTCCAAGTGGGCCTGGACCAGCGGGCGTGTGCAGGGGCCAGGGAAAGAAGCCCTAGTGGCGGATAGGGAACTCCGGATGACGCGTACACCGGGGGGCGGAGGGAGGCGCACCGGGCAAGGGTGAGGGAAAATGGAACGCGGCCCCTTTAAGAGGCCTTCACGGCACTCAAGGACCGGGATCCTCTCCTCCCCTCCCGGCCCGGTGTGTGAGGCCCTTCTTTGGGGAGAACTATCCCCAGACCCGCTCCCCGGAGGCTTCTCTCAAACCAGGTCCCGCCCGGCCCTGCCCTGGGGCGGCGGCTCCTCCTTACCCCGCTGTCGGCCGCCTCCTCCCAGCTCTCAGCGACCTCCTCATCTTCCATCTTACTCGCCGCTTTCCCTCCTCCCCCAACCCCTCCCCGCGCCTGCGCCCTGAAGCGCGCCTCCGTCGCGGGCGCAGGCACGCAAGACTTCTCAATGGACCCCGCCCTCTACCGAGCCCGGAAGAGGCTCAAGGCCAGAACCTACGCTAACGGAGACTTCCATCTTTAAAGATGGCGGGGAGCCCAAATGGCTGCCATCTTTCTTAAGGGCAACACGCTATTTTGTGTACAGGATGGGCATTCAGGTGATGTCGTCCTTTGGAGTACGGGAAGTGTGTTCTTTGAAACCATCTTTTGTAGGGGCAAGCGGGTACTGACTCCTTACCCCAAAACTGTGAATTTAACCCTAGGAACTTTGCATTGAACTATATCCCCACTACAGCACCCGCACCCTCCCCCTTTTTAAATGAGTTGTAATTTCCCTAAACTGCAGATTATGGTTTCTTCAGAATTCCGAAAACTTTTTTTTGAGACAAGGTTTCGCTATGTAGTTCAGGCTGCTTGAACTATGAAGCCCAGGCTGGCTTCGAACTCATGGCGACCCTCCTGCCTCAGCCTCTCAAGTGCTGGGATTACAAGTGTGCATACCACGCCCAACCTGAAAATATTTTTATATCTCAAAGGAATGAAAATATCTATAAATGCATAAAACATTTCTGATAAGGTGAAAATGATTGCAGTATTTCCTGATCATAAAGCACTATTCCAGGGCCAGGGATTTAGCTCAGTGGTTCCACCACTTGCTTTGCAAGCACAAGGTCCCAAATTTGATCCCTGGTACCAAATAAATAAATAAATAAATAAAACAGCAAGTACTATTCCACCCATCTAACAATATCTTATGTCCTCTACTGTGATAAAAATATGATGGGTTAATAACACTGCGCCTGAGCTAGGACAATTAGTAGGATTCCCAGCTAACTAAAATTGTCCTACCTTTATGACAAAATTTAACAGTTGATTATGATTGGGCATGGTAGCGCAAGCCTGTGATCCCAGGATGTAATCCCAGCTCTCAGGAGGCTGAGGCAGGTGGATCACAGAGTTTGAGGCCAGCCCAGGCTACATAGTGAGTTCAAGGACAGCCTGAACTACATAGTGAGAACCTTTCTCAATAACGAAAAACAAAATGAAACAAACCAAAAGTTGATGATGCTTCTTCCTAAATGGCGCTCCTGTATTCATTATTAAAGTGAGTACTTCACTATTCCTTCACTTTTTTTGGGGGGGGTTACTAGGGATCAAACTCGGTTTCCTGTGCTTGTAAAGCCTGCAGCAGAACCACTGAGCCAAATCCCCAGCCCTTCCTACACTATTAAAGTGGAAACCTTGGACTTTAACATTCAACTTCAGGCACTTCCAATTTGAACCGGCTCTGAGTTTTTCCAAGTTATATAAAGATTCTGGATCTCAGTTTTCCCAAGCATAAAGAATAGAGGTAATAGTAATTATAGCTACTTCAATGCTGAAAAGCATAACACAATGTTAATCATAGGAAAATTACAAGGGGTAGCTATCATCATCCTGGGGGTGTCTTGCCTTCCTGAAGAGACATAATTTTTTTTTGTACTTGGGATCAAACTCGGGTCCTTGTGTGGATGAGGCAGGAGACAGCACCACTGAACTACATCCCCCGCCTAAGACTTATAATTCTCATTTCTCTAACATCCTTTCTTTCCCCAAACACAAAGGAAGAGGGGAGCAAATACCATGTGTTTTATTCTTGCGGACATGTTCCTGAGTCCTTTCAGTATTAAAAACCCTATCAGCACAAGGTCCCGAGTTTGATCCCCGGTACCAAAATTAAAATAATAATAATAATAATAAATAAATAAATAAATAATGTATCAGGTCGGGGATTGTAACTCCATTGTACCATTCCTGCTTTGCAAGCACAAGGTCCTGAGTTCGATTCCTGGTATCAAAAACAACAAATGAAACAAACAGTATCATTTAATGCAGTCACATTTGACTGTTATAACTGAGTTATGTGTCTTGGAAATTTTTTTCTTGTGTTTATACCATGTCATTCATCTTTATAAAATAAGCCTTCTGTCGTAAAATTTTGCAGTTTGTATTCTTTTTTTTTTTTGGTCTGGGAATCGAACCTGGGACCTTGTGCTTGCAAGGCAGGCAGTGGAACCACTGAGCTAAATCCCCAGCCCTTGCATTCTTAATGATGTTATGAATTGCAATCGCATACTAAATGTTACTAGTCTTAGAAATTAAAGTGACAAGTTTATTAATTCTCTGTTTCATGCCTTTCTTTTTTTGGGGGGGTACTGGGAATCGAACTCAGGACCTTGTGTTTGTGAGGCAGGCAGCGGAACCACTGAGCTAAATTCCAGCCCTGTTTCATGACTTTCTGTCTCTGAGATACTGTTCATTTTCAGGTCTGTCCACAGTTCATTGTTCTTACCTAGATTCGCATGGTAAAAGCCACCTTGTATTCTGAAGACTCCCAAAGTTTATTTCTGGCCTTGGACTAACCTGATGTTTCCAATTCTTATTTGTAGGGTTGTTATTAGTATCTCTATGAGAACATCACACTAGCCATTCAAATTCTCAGCCACCCCCCCCTTTTTGTGCCAGGGATCAAACTCAGCACCTTGCACTTGCAAGGAAGCTGTGGAGCCACTGATCTACATCCCCGGCCCCTTGAGATGGTATTTATTTGTAGTACATTCTCTGAGACCCTATTGTTTGAAGTGAACGGTCTTGAGTGTTGGTGACAGCAAGGTGGACGAAACTGTCAACCCCACCCTATCTTGTTCTTTTTTTGAGACAGGGTCTCACTATGTAGTTGAGACTGACCTGGAACTCACTGTGTAGCCCAGACTGGTCTGTAGCCCAGACTGGTCTCGAACTCACAGCGATCCTCCTGCCTCAGCCTCCCAAGTGCTGGGATTACAGGTGTGCGCCACCACGCCCGGCCCCAAGTCTTATTCTTGAGGTAGGGTTAGTTGGTCCTAAATATAACTATAGTCTACAGCCATACCACCCTAAAGCTCCCAATCTTGTCTAAATATAGCTGTAGCTGTAGCACGCTAGTTTTAGGCTTTGTATTTACCCTGAATCACCAGTAGGGGAAGATCGTCCCTTACAATTTTGCTGTCCTATCATCCTGAACAAAGGCTTTAGGGGGTATTCCTGAGTCTGAAAGTTCAAGGAGACCAGAAAAACCTAAATGTTGGACATTGTTCAAGGATACTCGGGAAAAAAAACATCTTGTTCCACCATGTAAGCGATCAGGATATAAACCCTAGTTGATCACAGAGACCCCTAATGGAGTAGTAGATTTGGGGGGGGGTGGCTTGCACTTGTGAGGCAGGCCCTTGGAACAACTGAGCTAAATCCCCAGCCCAAGATCCCTTATGACTTTGGGGAAGTCCTTTCCTCTTTTGGTCTGTTTTGTCTTTTTTTTTGTTGGGTTTTTTTTTTTTTTTCCCTTTGGTTTTTTGAGACAGGGTCTCACTATGTAGTTGAGACTGACCTGGAACTCACTATGCAGCTCATGCTGGTCTCAAACTCACAGTGATCCTCCTGCCTCAGCCTCCTGAGTGCTGGGATTACAGGCATGTGCCACCACGCCCGGCGCTGTTTTGTCATTTGTAAAATGAAGGACAGATAGGACCAAATAAACTAAAACTGAGGACATAGTAGTGACACTTTCATCATCCAGAGGAAGCCCAAAAAGTTGGGGCAGAGACATACACAATACAAATACAAGCACGAAGCCCACAGTGAGAAAACTTCTATCTGATCCTCAAGCTAGGCTATGCAGACAGTTGTGTTAAGAAATAAGTGGTGTGAGCTGGGGATTTAGCTCAGTGGTTCTGCCTCGTAAGCACAAGGTCCTGGTTCGATCCCTGGTACAAAAAGAAAGAAAAAAGAAAAAGAAATGAGTGGTGGTGCATGCCTGTAATCGCAACCCTCAGGAGGCTGAGGCAGGATCACTGTGAGTTCAGGGCCAACCTGGGCTACATAGTGAGCTCAAAACCAGCCTGAACCACATGGCGAGATCCTGTCTCAAAAATAAAAAAAAAAAATTTTTAATGGAAAGGGCCAGGAATATAGTCAGTGCAAAGGATCTGGGCTCAATCCCCAATACTGCAAAATACAAACAAATAGATAAATAAGTGCTGGGATGTAGCTCAGTGCAAAGGCCTTGGGTTTAATCCACAGTACTGGGCAAGAAAGGAAGAAAAAGGAAAGGAAAAAGTGGCGAGGTTGGGGGTGTAGCTGAGTGGTAGAGCACTTGCCTCTTATGCCAAATGCCTGGGTTTCATTCCCAACACACAGACACACACACACACACACACACACACACAGACACACGCACAGAGATAGAAAGAGAGAGAGACAGCATCAACTGTGATTTTTTTTTTTAATTTTTAATTTTTTGGTACAGGTGATTGAACTCAAGACCTTGTAATTGCCAGGCAGGCATGGTGGCACTGAGCTAAATCCCTGCATACCCCCCACCCCCTCCTTTTTGAGACAGGGTCTCTCTAGTAGCCCAAGTTGGCTTTGAACTCAGTATTGTAACCCAGGCTGGCCTGGCGATCCTCCTGCCTCTGCCTCTTGAGTGCTGAGATTACAGGCGTGTCTCACCACACCTGGCTATTTTTTATTTTCGAGACACTAAGTCTCTAAATTGCCTAGGTCAGGTTCAAACTTCTGATCTTCCTGCCTCAGCCTCTGAAAGTGCTGGAATTACAGGCACGTGCCACTACGCCCAGCTCCAATTCATTCTTTTTTCTTTTTTGAGACAGGGTCTCAGTCCCTAGTTTGGGCTGGCCTTGAGCTCACTATTGTAGCCCAGGCTGGTCACAAACTCGAAGTGAGCCTCCCAAATGCCAGGTTACAAACTTGTGCCATCACATCTGGCTCTCTAGTTCATGCTTTCATTCAACAAATATGTATGGAGTCCCCACTGTATCCATGGTCTCTATACTAGATGCTGGTGGAAAAGCAGTAAGCAGGACAAAAATCCCTGCAATCTTTGAGCCAGGAGATTCAAGGTCTGAACTTGTTCTAAAATTATCTAGCCTCAAATTGGACTGGACACTAATCTCCCTGGGGAATTCTAGAAAAAGTCCAAGGCAGTAGACTGAGGTCAATCCTGGAACCTGTATTTTTTAAAGGAAGCACTTAATAGCTTGTCCAGTGCTATCAGCTGCTACAGAGTATTTGGAGGAAAAGGTTGCAGGTTTTCTGTACCTTGAATTAATTGATTTGCTAGAGATGGGATCTAGGGCCCTGGACATGTGAAGCAAGTGCTGTACCACTGAGCCACACCCCCAGCCCTCTACAACAATTTTTAGTATTTATTTTTGGTGGTACTGGGAATCAAAACCAAAGGTGTTCTACCATTGAGCTACCTTTCTAGATCTTTGTTTCTTATTCTGAGACTGAGTTTCACTAAATTGCCCAGGCAGGACTTCCTTATGCGATTTTCCTGCCTCAGCCTCCCAAAGTGCTGGGATTACAAGCAAGCATCACCATGCCCAGCAGGTTTGGGGTTTTTATTGACATAATTGTTACCTTACCAGTTAGAATTGCCAAATTTCTCTTTTGCGGTGACAATTCCTAATGGAAGAACTGGAACTCCTTAAATCTGTTTCTCATACTGGGATGCTATCAATGTGTTCCCAGGGGTCCTGGGATTATCCCTTAAGGCACATAACTGCTTTTTAGAGTGAGGCTGACTCAGAACTGGAGAGGGGATTTATCTTTTTATTTATTTTGTGTGTGGGGGGTACCAGGGATCTAATTTGGGCCCTTGTGCTTTCGAGGCAGGTGGCAGAACCACTGAGCTAAATCTCCAGCCCTATTCATCTTTGAGGTGTAGTCTGATTGTGTTGACTAGGTTGGTCTTGGACCTCTGGGCTCAAGTGATCTTCCTGCCTTGGGCTCCTGAATACCTGGGGTTACAGGTATGCACCACAGGCCTGGCAGCATTTGGCTTCGGACCCTGTCCTATTTCCCAAGAGGCCCTAGGAGATCCACTTTATACTAAGGCAGTCCGTTGGTAGCCCAAGGTTGCTCCAGCGCTAGGGCTAGGAGGTGAAGACTGAAGCCAAGTGCTGTATCCCTGGTATACTCTTAGATCACATGCTGTAGGGTTGGGTTCCTAAAATTTATCCCTTGAAGGGGGGCTTGGCTGGACCCCATCTCCTAGTAATAGTGAAAATGGGAAATACAGAGCTTGGAAACCAGGAAAGCCGGAGTTACAATCCTGTTGCATCCTCACCCCCATTGCCAGGTGAGTGGTTCGATGCTTAAATTTCCTCAACTGAAAAACGGAGCTAGTAAATTAGGCATCGTGGCACATGCCTGTAATCCCAGCATTCTCAGAAGCTGAGGGAGGAGGACTCAAATTCGAGCCCAGCCTGGGAAATTAAAATGATTTGGTGAGGTTGTGTCTCTATAAATTAGGATTGGGGATGTGGCTCAGTGCAAAGGCCCTGTGTCAGTCCCTAGGATGAAGGGGGTAAAAAGGAGGTAATAACTCACACACTGGTTGCTACAGTTTAGAGAAGCACTCTAACCAAAGCAGGGGGACTATCCATGGGCTCTTTCATAAGCCACAACTCTCCTCTGTGCTCACTGGACACTCGGGGATAAAGTGAGTTAATTTCTAAACGGCTTAGTCTCAAACCATTTGGAAAATTTCCCAATTGCCCCCGACACTGCGGCCGAGGGTGGACGGAAGCCAAGGCTAACTCTGGGTTGCCCTCAAACCTCCGGGCAAGCTCGGCCCTTCTCAACATGGCGCCGCCCCGCGGCCGTCCCTCGGCGACCCGCCGCGCTGACGTGAGTGCACGCGCGTCCTCCACGCCGTGGACCTGAGCATGCGCGCTCCGCGCTGTCTTCTCCCGGCCTGAGCAGAGCAGCGGCGGCGGCGTTTGAGTGGAGGAAGATGGCGGCTCCGGGCGGTTCGGGTTCCAGCCAGCTGTGAGAACCCCCGAGCTGCAAACGCGGCTTGGGACGGAGTGCCTCTGGTCTGGTCCTGCCTCGGGGTCCCTCAGCGCTATCACCAGCGGAGTGAACCCGAGATCGTGGAGCGGGCCGGGCCAGGTGAGGCCTCTCCCCCTCCCGGGGCCGCGGCTACCAGCCGGCGTCTCTTGCGCTTTATGCCCCGGGTGCAGTGGGCGCCTTGTGGGCCGGCGCAGGTCCGGTATCCTGAGAGGGGGTCGGTCCCGACGAGTCTCAGGGCCTTGCTGTCGTCATTGTCGGTCTCCCCTGGGTGAGGAGGGGAGGAGCAGAGAGAGCCCGCTTTCCAGCCAGTCCTTACGATGGGAGCGAACCTGTCTGTTCTCTCTTTTGCGGGCAGTTGTCCCCTCACCCCGACACGAAGAGGTGTGTGGCCGGCGAAAGAGTGGCTTTGGTGTCAGTGTTTCAGTCTGCTCCACCGGCCCCGAGCCCTTAACCGATTGCGAGAGGAGCCGGATACTGGTGCCCTCCAAATTGCGGCGAGGGGCCGGCATCCCTGCAGCTGCAGCTGCAAAGGATTGGTTTTTGGAATTGGCTCGCAAAATAAGACGCAAACAGCTCTTCCTGACCCTTAGCTTTTTCGAGCGATCCCTTAGAGAAGTGGGAACCGCGGTGCTTAACAGCAATCCACGTTGTGCCTGAGGACAGCTTTTCCTATTGAGAAGGGTTTGTGCGAAGTAACAGTGGAGGGTGGGAACGAATTTGTAAATGAAGAAAACACAATTGCGAGATCTTGATAGTGTCTGCTGAGAAACTTCAGCGCCTACGGAGTGCGTTTGAACCTTTGGATTGTTAAGCCTCGGAATAACTGATTGCTTTGTTGGATCTTCTGACTTTCATTAGGAAAATAAAAGCTTCGTCTTTTTATTGCCAAAGTCTGGATTTTTTTTGTGGTGGGATTTGGACCGATCTCGATGAAGCTCCGGGTACATTACCAGGTCTGGCTTGCTGGCAGCGACGTTATACTGTTTGTTACTCATTTTTGAGAATAACTTTTAGTTGTTCCAACGCTAATTGGAGCTTTTGAATTCAGGTTAGGGAAGCTGATTTGAAACCTTGTGGCCTCTCCCTTGAGGCTTGCGTTAGGATTTTGCTTTGGGGAAACGGTGAGACTACTGCTTTTGCTGGGATACATCGAATACCTTTTTGTACCACATTGGTTCTGCTTGTGCTTAAGAATGACATCAGGGATTTAAAGGGACAAGAATAATTTAAGAAGAAATATCATTTAGAATTCAGTATGTAGCTCGTACAGTGAATACTGATGCTCTGTGTCAAATTACTATCCCGAATTTACTCGTGTGTGTAATCTGATTGGGTGTCTTATCTAGTGTGTGTTGTCATCTTATTCCCTGTAACTTTGCTTTTGATAAACCCAGTGTTTATTATTCTATCCACATTGATCCATGGGTGTGCTGTACACTTGAAAAAGGTTTCACTTGTTGAAAGGATGGCCATTTGGTGTAATATTTGCTAGCTCTTTGAACATTTTTTTTCTTTCCTATTCTTAAAGTATTTTCTTACAAATTTTTAGCGTCTTTGCTAAAAATATAAAGTTGAACCAACGGTAAGAAATTAGAGAGCCACTCTATGTATATTAATGTGCTGATAAAATTAATGCAGTGAAACGTCCTGGTAGTTTGACATTCGGTTTCTTGGCACAGTAAGTTGAATTGTTGTGCTAAATCATCATCAGGTATTGATGCAATTTCATGACGTTTATGACATCATCCATCTCCATCTCTCCATCATTTTGACTTTAGGAAAAGAACAAGATCAGGAAAAATAACTTAGGATGCTGCTTCATAATAGCCGGTCTCTAGAATGGCCTTTATCCAGCGTTACTGTAGGTAGTTTAAACCCTCCCTAAGATGCAGAGCTGTGTGATTGCTACCTATTGTGGAAAGCAAGCCAAACAAAAATGCTAGCAGAACCTGAGTTATGTGGCAATATTGGGGTCCCAGAAAGCTTTCTAAAGATGAAGAAATATATTGTCGTCTTTGTGATTTTGGAATTGAGTGAATTAACTCTTTTATGAGAAGCCATTTAGTTAATAATTCCATTCCCACTTTGCAAGATTGTTTTGTGGATCAAGAGGTAATGTGTATGAATGTGTTTTGTAAAATAAAAAATAAACATCATTTCAGTTCTTTGAATCACCCATTGAAGGGCCCTACATTATATATATGGTAGGCATTTTGGGAAGGAGGTATTAATGATTTTAAGATGAGACAGCTTTTGGTCTGAGGTTGCCTAGAGTCTATTGGAGGAGCCAGACAAGGAAACCACTTAAGCTTATTGAAATAAAAGAAATACACTGAACCCGACCATGGCAGCCAAGGAAGACTTCTCAGAGCTGGGAGTGCTTTTCCCAACCCTTCCTGTTATTCTGCAGAAGAGTCAGCCTTTTGTGAGTGACTTGCTTTTTATAAAAGTTTAAAAAAATTCTGTCATGAGTTCTTTTCCCCTTTTATTCATTCACTGTCATGACACTTCCCACACAGTGTGCTCCAGTTATGGTTTCTGCATTCTCAAAAATCTAGTCGTCTTGGGAGAACCTTTCTGAGTGACTCATAGGCACAGGCAGCAAACACAAACATTGCAGCTGCAATTAAAATATTTCACATCACTAAGTGAGGACAACTTTAGAGTGATGCATTTTTGTTTTTGTTTTATAAACTAGCACAGGAAGCACTGAATGTTGTAATTAGATCACCTTTAGTTAATATTTAGTTGTCACCCACTACATTGTTGAGTATAGGTGGTTATTAGTACTGACCTTTCTTCCAATAATAAAATGAGAAAATCTGGTTCCTTTTTGGGTGGAGCTGACAGATTGAACTGGAGTTTAATAAATTTCTGCAGATTATTTGTGTGAATTGAGGCTTGACATCTGATAGTGAACTTCTGTATCCTAGTACAAGTTATGTCCATTGGTGCTGGAGTTTTAAAAATTAATTTAGCACATCACCTTTATTGCAGACATTTTACGAATTTTTGGATTGAGTAAAATCTTTATGTGGTACTGTATAATTTAAACATATACCATTGAGCCAGGAATTTAGCTCAGTGGCATTATGCCTGGCAAGTGCAAGGTCCTGAGTTTGAACCCTGGTACCCCCCCCCCCCAGAAAAGATCCTGAGTTTGATCTCAAAGCAAGTGCGTTAAGCTTGTGGCTGACAGGTAGTATGTTCGTTTTTCTGTATTGTGACAGTTACATGTAGAGGGATACAACCAATAGACAATCCTTATTTGTTTGTTGAGTAGTAGTACTGGGAATTGAGTCCAGGGACTTCACATTGAGCTATATCCACAGCCCTTTTTAAGTTTTTGTTTCTTTGTTTTTCCTTTTTAAGTTTTTGAGACAGGATCTTGCTAAATTACTTGGACTGAACTCTAATTTATGATCTTCCTGCCTCAGCCTCACAGAGTGCTGGGATTAGAAGCGTATACCACCACACCCAGCATAAATGACTATTTTGAAGAATTTATTAGTATGGCATGTTCTTCCAAATTTGCATTTCTTTATTATTCTGTAAGAAGGCAGGATATTTAATTATTTGGTTTTCATTATAAATTTTCTTAGTAAAGCATTGTTGCAGGGCTGAGGATTTATTTACTTCAGTGTTGTCAGCCCCTGCCTTGCAAGTGCAGTTGGCCAATATTGTTTAAATTGGTTTGTGTCTTTTTGTTTTGTTTTGTTTTTGTGGTACCGGGGATCGAACTCGGGTCCTTGTGCTTGCGAGGCAGGCAGCGGAACCTCTGGGCTAAATCTCCGGCCCTGGTTTGTGTCTTTTTGACATGTCCACAGTTTTCTTGGGGTACTTCCTTGCTTTTTTATTTTTGTTTGGGCTGAGGATTACTCAGGGCATCCTACATGTTAGGTATGTCCTATACCACTAAGCTACACGCCCAGCCCTGTTGCTTGTGTCACGTGACAGCAAGATATCCCAGGTTGTTTGTATTCTCTGTCCTTGACCTGGTGTCATCAGTCATTTTTCTAAGAAGACTTAGTGTCTCTTACAGGGAAACCAGGATCTAAGTGATAGGGATGCTCATTGCTACAGGGCCTTTGTTGTTTCTTCTTTTTTTTTTTTTGGTACCGGGGATTGAACTCAGGTCCTTGCGCTTGCAAGGCAGGCCACCGAACCGCTGAGCTAAATCCCCAGCCTGGGTCTTCGTTGTTTCTAAGTCACATCAGTAGGTAGAACTAGAAAATATATTTATTATAAATCATAACTTCAAGTTAGGCATAGTGATGGACACATGTAATCCGAGTATGCTAGGAGGGTGAGGCGGTCAGGATCACAAGTTTGAGCCCAGCCTGGGGAACTCAGTGATTTAGCAAGACTCTGTCTCAAAAGATTGAAAAAAAAAAAAGAGGGGCTAGGTTCAATCTTCAGTACAAAAAACAAACAAGAACAAAAGCCCCCAGTAAGTCACCAACTTATACAAATGAGTTTCACCCATTATAGAAGAATTGCTCACAGGTTGGATTCATTTGAAAGCTGATCAGGTGAGTTTTATATAGTACTGTGCACCTGTGAAAGTTTGTAGCTGAAATGTTTGTTAAGTTGGGGACATTTTATATATGTGTATATGCATATGTGTGTATGTCTATATATGATTCATATTCATATTGTATATGTTGATTGGTTCGGGGATTGCTTTTTGTTGTGTTTTGTGTTTTGGAGACAGGGTCTGGTGTATTTCAGGCTGGCTCTGAACTCACCATGGAGCCCAAGCTGGGCTCAAACTTGGGAGCAGTCCTCCTGCCTCAGTTTCCCAAGTGCTAGGATTACAGGTGTGCACCACCATGTCCAGCTAATGTTAAGATTCCTGATGAGTACCAAAAATAACAAGTACCAAGTAAATTTTTTGGCTGGAAAGAGTAGGGAGTCACAGGAGTTGACAAGTTCAAAATGGCACCCTGAGTACCAAACAGACAACAAAATTTTCATGCCAGAATGTGTTGAGTATCAAATTCCATGAGTTTCAAAGCAGGTGGGTACTAAAGTTTGCTAAAAGAATTAGACATAAGTTCAAGATTTCTTTTTATTTTTTAAGGTTTCTTTCTGGTTCT